AAACGATGAAGGTCCCAGGATGACTTTTGAGTCGACTCAAAAGTCAACTGGTGAACGATGAAGGTCCCGGGGGTGGTGGTGCTGATGACTTGGCGGAACGAGTAGCTGTGAGAGGGGAGGCCGTGGAGGAGTAGGAGAGGAGGAGGGGAGGAAGAAGGGGAAGAGGGGGAAGGAGGCAGAGGGTTCGTGTGCTTGTGTGTCCATGACAAATCACCTGCAGTGGGTGGGTGGGAGCATAGGGGGAAGGAGGGCGAAAGCAGAATCATAGGAGGAATAGGGGATAGTGGTGCTGATGGTGCTGATGGTGCTGATGGTGCTGATGGTGCTGATGGTGCTGATGGTGCTGATGGTGCTGATGGTGCTGGTGGTGAGGGCGAAGGTCCCAGGGTTTATTGTGCTTACTCCCTCCCTTCCCCTCTCATCAACTCTTCTTGCTTTGCCCTCCCCCCGCCCCCTGCCCCCACTCCACTCCCTTCGTTCGCACACTGAATTCCCTCCGCCTCCCGTCTTGTGCGCCCGTTTTGAGACGTCTCAAAACACGACTTGTGCGCCCGCCCACCATTGCATCCCTCCAAGTTGATTTTTGAGTCGACTCAAAAATCAATTCTGCCGCCTCCCATCTTGCGCGCCCGCCCACAATTGCATCCCTCCGCCTCCCCATCATGCGCTTTCCTGCTTTCACCCCCCCCCACCCCTCCCCTCGCCCCCACTCCACTGCCTTCGTTCAAACACTGAATTCTGCCTTCTCCCGTCCTGGGTGGCTGAATCTGTTTTTTGAGGGGGGGTGGGGGGGGGGGAGGAAAAACAAAAACCTTCCCGTCGCGTCGCCTCCACTGCACTGCACTCCCTTCGTTCACACTCTGAATTCAAGGCGACTTTTGAGTCGACTCAAAAGTCATCTGTTTTTTGAAGGGGGGGGGGGGGGGGGGGAATCCTTCCCGTCACGTTGCCTCCATTGCATTCCACTTCCTTCGTTCACACACTGGATTCAGCCTCCTCCCGTCTTGTGTGGTGCCCACCATCCCCATCCTCCATTTCACCTGAAAAAATGCCTGAGAACTCACCTGAGCCCCTCAGCCGAGGCCTGAAAGCCCTCCCCCATGCGCAGCCCGAACACAGGGTCCCGCACCTCCTGCACTGCCCCTGCTGCCCCTGCTGCCCCTTCTCCCCCTTCTCCCTTCCACTCTCCCTCACCTGAGCCCCTCGGACGAGGCCTGAAAGCCCTCCCCCATTCTTAGCCCGAACACAGGGTCCCGCACCTCCTGCACTGCCCCTGCCGCCCCTTCCCCTCCCGCCACCACCACAACCCTCCCCCGCTCCTCCCACTCCTCCGCCCTGCCCCCTCCTTCGGCGTATTTCCCTGTGGGAAAGGGAGAAGGGGATGAGATGAGGAGGGTAGAAATTTGAGATTCCCCTCCCCGCTGCCCCTTCCCCCACCCACCACCACCACCACTCTCTCTCCCCCGCTCCTCCCATTCCTCCGCCCTGCCACCCCCTTCGGCGTATTTCCCTGTGATAAGGGGAGGAAGTGGAAGCGGAGGGTACAGAATTCAAATTTCCCCCTGCTGCCCCTTCCCCTGCCACCACCACCACCCTCCCCCGCTCCTCCCATCCCTCCGCCCTGCCCCCTCCTTCGGCGTATTTCCCTGTCACAAATGGGGGAAAGAGAGGAAGAGGAGAAATAGGGGTAACGAATCAAAATTCCCGTTTTGTCGCCTCTCTGTCCCACTTTAACCCCCATCATGCCCCACTCGCCGTGTCACCATGATCAGCGTCAGCAACCAATGCGAGGAGAGGAAGAGGAGAAATAGGAATAAAGAAATCAGATTCCCCTTCTTGTCGCTTCTCTGTCCCCTTTTCACCCTGTGTCCAACTCTCGCACTGCCACCCCCTGCGTGAAAACTGGCGTGGTTGAAACAACTACCGAGGGTTCGAATCCCTCCCTCTCCGAGGTGACTTTTGAGTCGACTCAAAAGTCCCTCCCTCTCCGTGCCAACTCTCGCTCCTGCCACCCCCTGCGTGATGAGCGTCAGCAACCAATGCGAGAGGCCCAAGTCCATTCGATAGCAGCAGTCGCGATAGTAGCACTAGAATTTTCACAAATGCGTATAAGAAACAGTCGAGCTAGCTAAAAGGGACACTCGAGGGACACTCGAGTCAGCAAAATCCGAATCAGGGACACTCGAGTTAGCAAAATTCGAATCTAACCCTTGAATTAGCGACATCCGTGTCAGCAGTTAGTATCAACCTATACTCGACATAGAAACATACGTACCGCCGACAAACGAGAATCCGTCGCCGACTGATACGGGCGCGTCGATCAATCCACTGCCGTCATCGTCATCCTCGATATAGAAATTCCCGTTATCGTCCTCGTCCACATACAGCGACTTTACGAGATGTACACGTCCGCCACTAGCAGCGAAACGATTGCCTTTAGCGTCCAAGCTACTAACGCGGATAATGTTCCGTAATTTGCCGCCGTGGAATGCGGAATGCGGCAAGAGACTCAAGCCGCGTGAGGGAGTACGGCGGCCAGCATGGCTCAGCACGGGCTGACGTGCTGTTGGCCACCACGTGGCATTTGAGATATGAAATTGCCGGGCAGACGGAAGAGCTGACGTCAAGCCGGTTACCAGGCTACGCGCCGCGATGGACGACGCGAGAGCCGCCATGTCACCTCGTTCACGGTTTGGGAGTACACCGCAGACTGGTTGACAACAAATAACCGCTAAGACTAAACGCGTTTGTGCAACAATCGCTTTTAACACGCGTTCATGCAATTTACAACATGACTTCCTCATGTGGCTTTTTCAATTTATTAGTAAATCAGATGTAGTCTCTATATTTGCCGAGTGTTTTAGTTCGACATCAGAAATCAACGAGGATAAGATGGAGCCGCGACAAGCAATTCACTGTTTGGGGCGAAGCGACAGCGCACGCTTTTGAACGGGGATGACATTTCGCAAAATCTCGACTGCGGGAATTATGGACGTTTGGGAGCGGTTCCGTCACCGAATCTGACAGACGAACGAATGTTCCGTCAGGGAGATCAAACGTGGTTATTATTTGAGCGAATTTCGCAGCCGTCGTCGCGCATAGCTTTGACGAGCGCCACGGTTTGCGCACCGCACCCATCACTACCACGCATTTCACATCAGCTGCAATCAAGAATTACGGGAACGGTAACCAGGTAAGCCCGTACAGATGGAGAATTATTCGCACCCAATTATGTAATACCAGTTGGTCATTGACACGAGATAAACTGCCCATGTGGAATATCCGTCAGGGTGAAATTGCGCAAGCCGTAAGCAGAATACGTCAATGTGAGTAGCAAGCTGACCGAAAAGGGAACAAATCTGAAGCATTGCAATGGCCCTGTTTCTCACCACACCACATCCACAACCGAATCGCACATCCCGAGGCGCGACGGTCCAATGTGAAAGTCACACCAAAATCTTCGACCGTGCGGGATGAGAAATCTGATCGGGGGGGAGGGAGCTTTGCACAACTCCAGTAAGCTTCCTTGCAACTTTGCTCCTCCCAAGAAAGCGACTCCAGCACGCCTTTCAACCCAACCAAAACGCTCTCACTACCATCACCACCACCATCACCACCACCATCACCACCACAATCATCTGAAGCGAGAGTTCAGGGTTGGCGCAAAACATTTGGCGACCAATAACCAAACCAGCAACACTGCTCGAAGTGGCACCTTTCAGTCAATGCACATTAGCCCGTTCAACTCAACCCAACAGCGCCACAACCTGGCCCTCCTTAGCGCCTTCAACTTGCTCTCCACATCCCCTACCCACAAACGCCCACGTGGACCCCCGCGCGCATGAGCGACGCGGAGCGGGACTAGCGCTTGTCCGTGCGGCCACTGGGAGGAAAGCCAGGGCGAGGCGACCTGGGGAAGCCATCAATCCCTTCGTGAGATCAGATCAGAACCGCGGCGAAATATAGGAAGCTGGATGGACCGATGAGGATATCAGAGCCAGGGTCTACTAGAGAGAGGGCAACTAGCGGCAGCATAGAGAGGGTGATTAGCGCCCGACTCAGGTCAGGTAGGTTCGATCCTTGGCGATCTACCCTCGCGATCGACACTGTTCTCCCAAATTTCTGCAGGCATTAGATAGAAAAGCCCTCCCCTCTTACGAATCGAGCGACGTGCTCTAGTGAAACGCCAGTCCCTTCCCCCGTCGGTCCTTGAGAGATTGCTGCCTGAGGCGACTCAATTTACAGAACGCCTCCCCCCAAGGCTGGTCGTTCGTTCGTTATCGTGAAACGTGCTTAGAGTGACACCCTTTCGGTCTTTAAGAGCTCGCTCCGACTTTCCAGGTGAAAGCTCTCCCTACAGCTTTCATTCTCGACCGATAGGCCAGGCTTGTCTGTCGTGGTCTGGTTGTGCCGCTCCCGTGGCTCCCTTTAGCTTTCCTCGTGCCTCTCATCTCATCTCCTCTCGTCGACTGGGCCCTCCTCCTGGCTCTCCCTGCCACCTCTCTTCTGTCTGTCTCGCTGGCGGCGGCCCCCTTACGGCAACTCCCTCTTAGCACCTTCATACACACAATCCTTACACAGCGACCGTCATTACAAACGTCGAGCACCGGAGTAAACGCGTCGACCCTCTGCCTCTGCCGCGCCCATTCGCGGCCGAAACCTCACATAGACAGTCGCCGAGTGCGTAGCCCCTCTTATTACGTGTGTAGCCCCTTACGTCCCCAGTCACATGTGCGTACGAGTACGTCACACATTGCGCCGAAAGATGCAGCGACTCACTCCCAGTAGCCGTTGTTAGCCCAAGACAGCTTCCGAGTAGGAACAGTCCTTGAACTCCCTCGTTCCCAAGGTGAGGGCGACGGCCCCATACCCGTTTTGAGGAACCGCGGTAAACGACACAGTCAAACCCTCGCTTTACTTTCAGATTGAATCCGAGCTGCACTGCAAACGAGATCTCGGCGGACAAAGCGTAATACCTTTCGCCACGACCCCCACCTGCTATGGGTCCCCCTCGGCGCACATGTTGTCCGCCATCGCATTCCCCCCCCACCTCTCGCCTCCGCCTCCCTTTCCGCCTTTCCCTCCGCGTACTCTCCCCCAACACTCTCCTGCTATGCGTGCTCGCAACGTTCGTCCTCTCCGCATCACGCGCCGCAGCATATGGCGCTCCGGGAGGCGCAATGGCCACCTTTTACGGCGGACCCGACGCGTCGGGCACTTGGGGTGCGTCTTTGGCTGGTTTTTTGCGGTTGCAAGAGGTTGAGAGGGGCTGAGTTGAAGGGATAAATCGAGGGGTTACCTTCCAAAAGGTACCCACAACTTAATTCTGTCTTAGCCACCTCCTGGTCAGGTGGTCGTGCAAGCAGGCCGATGAAGTCGTAGGTCTAACGTTTTATGAAATTACATTCATTGCAGGTGGTAACTGCGGTTACGGCAATCTCGTGCAAGCGGGTTACGGCATCCTCGTCGCGGCGGGAAGCCCCCCTCTTTACAAGGGCGGGAAGGGATGCGGCGCTTGCTACCGGTACGCACACGCTCGTTATTGTCACAAAATACTCGCTATCACGACTTTATGCATCGCCACCTCTCTTGGTGTCGCCTTTGTGCCCCGCGCTTTCAGTTTCTTTCTGTGTAAATCAACTCTCAACATGAACAATATCTGCCCTTCACCATCGGCCCCCCATTCCCCCTCCTCTTCCATTCTTCCCCTCTCCCTTGTTCTCTTTTCTACCTTTTCCTCTTCCCCTCCCGCGCCCCCTCGACCTGCTGTGATCTCTTCTCTCCCTCCATGCTCCGCGTCATTTCTCTTCTCTCCTTGCCCCGTTGCTCCTCTCCTCTCCTCCCTCTTCCCCTTTCTCTTTTATCGCAGCGTGAAATGTACCAACAGCACGTATTGCAACAAGGGCGTGTCCATCGTGGTCGCTATAACTGATCTCTGTTTTTTCTTTCCTCTTTTTCCATTTCGCAGCGTGAAATGTACCAACAGCACGTATTGCAACAAGGGCGTATCCATCGTGGTCGCTATAACGGATCTCTGTCCCGGCGGGGGATGGTGCTGTCCCACCTGTCGCCACTTCGACTTGAGCGAACCTGCTTTTATCGCGCTTGCGAACCGCGCCGCTGGCTTCGTTCCTCTCTCATACGAACAGTAAGTCTCTGATATGAGCGAACGCGCTATTGTAGCTTCTATGCCCCGGTCGTTACTCTCATGCTACATTCCCCAATTGCCCACAATCTCATTGTCTCTCGGGTAAATCCCCGCAACTGACACACGTTGCTCATTTTATCGTTTCCAATCACAGAGTGCCATGTGTTTTCTCCAACAACATTCGCCTCACCGCAACCGGGTCGCCTTTCTGGCTTAATCTCTTGATTCGCCAAGTCGCGGGTCCCGGTGACCTTTCGCTTGTCGAAGTGATGGACTCGAATTCGCCTACGTGGAGACCGATGCGACACGACTGGGGTGCGAATTGGGTGTACGAATCTTTCCTTCAGGCGCCTCTCAAGTTTCGCCTAACTTCGCTCACTGACAACCAGCAGGTGGTTACCAACCCCAACTGCCTCCCGGCTGGTTGGGTTCCGGCGAAGGACTACGACTGCAACATTCAGTTTTCGTTCCCTGGCGACGGGATGGATGGTAACCACGGAGGGCCCCACGGCGACGGAAGCGGATTATCAGATGCCGCTCCCAGGAATCGAACCAAGGTCATTCGGCCCATCAAGAAAAATAAGTCTCCAGCCAAGAGTCCCAGTACCCCAAAAACTCCCGGCAATCCCAAGAACCCCGGCACTCCCAAGTCCCCGGGTAAATCACCCAGCAAGCCTCCTGCGACCAATTCACCTGGCAAACCGCCCGCCAAACCTCCTTCCAAATCGCCGCCGACTAAGAACGGCAACAACGGAAGCAAGGACAACAAGAGCGGGAACGACAATGGGAACAACAACGGCAACAAAAATGGCGGAAGCAAAAACACCAATAAGGGCAAAAATGGAAGCAACACGAACAAAGGCGGTGGCAGCAGCAGCGGTGGGGACAAGAAGGAAGGAGGGCATCCTCCTAACGTTGGGCACCATCCCGAGGGAGTGGGCCATAGACCTGCAGGTGTGGGTCACCACAAGCCTCGGAACGGAGGCTCGGCATCAGCTTCGGCGGCGGTTCCAAGGCATCCACCATACGTTGGGCACCATCCCGAGGGAGTGGGCCACAGACCTGCAGGTGTGGGTCACCACAAGCCTCGGAAAGGAGGTTCGGCATCATCAGCTTCGGCAGCGGTTGTACCAGCTGCTCCGAGTGCGTCTGTGGGTGTACCAGCTGCTCCGAGTGCGTCTGTGGGTGTTGGAGTAAAATCACTGGCTGTGGCAACAACGGCAGCAGCACCTGCAACACCACAGCAGTAGCAATGGCGGTGGCAGTAGCAATGGCGGTGGCAGTAGCAGTGGTGGTGGCAGCAGCAGTAGCAGTGGCCCTGGCATGACGGCACAGCAACAGCTCCTGGGATATGCACCACAGCAAAATAGTAGCTGTGGGAGAGCAAATGGTAAGAGAGGTACACCACGAGTGTAGACTCCAGGTGGAGGTAGTTTTTGGACGAGGTGAGGAAAGTGTTGAGATGTCTCAAGACTCCAGGTTAAGTATCTGGTCACACTTAGTTTTTTTGGTTTACAGGCAGGTATGATTTCCTTTAGGCACTAGCTGCGGTGAAGGTGATGTAGCTTTGACTTTAGGTACTAATCTAGATGTAGGCTGCCTCTCTGCATGTGGATGCATGTGCAGCTTCTGCTGCTGGACGGTCGCATGTATTAATCTTCATACGCATGCTTCGTGCTATGAATGCTACGATCAGAGAATGATCGCTAACCAGGATCTACTCGGGAAGGTTCGCACACAGGGAAATGTAGTTGGTGGGCCCGTGACCTCAATAGCAGAGTGAATGTAAAATGCTTGAGATAATAAGAGCATGCAAATACAACGATATAAATAAGGGTACAAGGGAATACGAAGCGACCTAACTAGCCATGTACTCTAAGGGGTACATTCCCTTATTCAAATACATTCCCAACCGTGCGGCGCGTACAGTTTCGTAACTGTTCCCGCCAAAACATCCTGCCTGCAGCTGTCCGATGCCGTATGCTTCCGACGGTCCAGATGCGACCCAACTGTCTGACACTTCGAGTCAAACTCCAACTGTCTGACGGTTCGCTTTCTTGCTTCGATACTGCGTGCTTCTCTTTGCTGCGGTGAGGAGTGCTCAGTAACAATTAAATGTTACTATTCGTAACACCCCCCTTCACTCCTGGCCGTAGCTCGATTTGACCCGCTTGACCACGCCGCTGAGTTCGGAGCAGTGCTGATACTGCTGGCGTGGCAGTCGCTTTGTGAGGAAATCTGCTGCCATGTCACCGGTCGGGCAATAGGTCAAGTTGACCTTGCCCTTGTCCACTTCGTCCTTCACGAAGAAATATCGCAGCGCAATGTGCTTGGTGCGATTGACGAAACCGGGTTTGTTCGCGATGCGAATCGCGCTCTGGTTGTCGCAGTGAAGTCGAAAGGTTGGCGAAGTTGGAATTTTCGCCTCCTGCAGGAGTTCCTGTAGGTAGAGGCCTTCGCGAACTGCTGCGGTTGCTGCGATGAATTCTGCTTCGGCTGACGACAGGGCAACCAGCTCCTGCTTCTGTGAATTCCAGGAGATTGGCCCCGTTGGTTCGAGTCGGAACAGGAAGCCGGTCCTGGACCGTCGATTGTCGGGATCTGCTGCATGATCGGCATCCACATAGCCGACGAGATTGAAGGATGGGGTTGGTGCAGTTGAGTAGCACAGCCCAATCTTGGGCGTTGAAACGAAAAATTGCAAAGCGCGCTGCAGGTCCAGGTGATTTTCAGCCGTTGGTTTCCGTGAGTGCTGGGCAAGCTGACTTGCGATGTAGGAGAGGTCTGGCCTGCAGGTGACAGAGGCGAAGAGGAGGCATCCCAGCTGCTGCTGGTAAGTCTGGATTCCAGCAGGGGACAGGGCTTTGTTGTCAGGTTTGTGGTTCGGTCCGGGGGTTCGATAGGGAGTCGAGAGAGGTGCGGGTGAAATCTTGAACCGCTTCCCTAACTCCTCTGCGTACTTGGTTGCTGACAGATGAATGGCTTCAGGCGCGTAGGAGATGTTGAGGCCTAGGAACTGCTTCACCTCGTAGTTGCACGTGATGTTGACGCGCCCCGCTAGGGCCTTCTCGAACTGTTCGAGCAGCTCGTTGTTTGAGCCTGTGTAGAGCAAGTCGTCGACGTAGACCGTGAGGAGGATGTATTCCCCGCGGAAATCGCGGCGGTACATTCCTAGGTCGTGGGGCATCTGCTTGAACCCGATTTCAAGCAAGATGTTGTGCAAGTACTGCTGCCACAGCCTTGGAGCCTGCTTGATGCCGTACAGTGACTTGCGCAGCAGACATACCCGCGAGTCACTTTCGCCATAGGTGTGTGGCTGCTCCACGTAAATCACAGCGTCCACTAACGCGTATAGGAACGCGTTTTTGACATCGATCTGGCGGAGTGGCAGGTGCCTTGCAGCTGCGATAGCGAGTAAGATGCGGACGGAGGTGTGGCGACTGACGGGGGCGAATGTCTGGTCGAAATCGATCCCATGCCTCTGGTCATAGCCGCGAACCACCCAGCGTGCTTTAAAGCGCTCAATCGTTCCGTCAGCTGCGGTCTTCACGCGGAAGACCCACTTCCCCGAAAGGATTCTTGCACCTTTGATTGCTGCGCGGTCAACGAGCACCCAGGTGTCGCGTGACTCCAGTGCCTTGATTTCCGCGTCCATTGCCTCACGCCATTCCTTGCTGTGTGGTCCAGAGAGGGCTTCGCGCGGGTTTCGGGGCTCGATGACGCGCGGCGCTTTCGAGGTTGCGGTGTGAAATCCGAGCAGTTGCAGTCCTGAGACGGTACTGTCGTGGTGACGCTGCGGGACGACTTCCTGCACGTCATCATCGTCGCTCTCAGGTTCAGGTGGTGCTGATGGTGTTGCGCCTCCGCCGCTTCCGCCCGTTCCGCCTATTCCTCCTCCTGAGGAATCATCGTCGTTGTCGCTGCTGCGCCGATCTTCCCAAGTGAATTCGGCCCTGGTGTCCTGCTCTAGAAGTGCTGCAGCGGCTTCGTCTTCGGGCGTTGCGTAGCTGTGGCCGTTGTTCGCGTAAACGCGATCTGCATTCCTCTGTTCGTCGTCGCGGAACTGGTCGAGGAAGAGACGCTCGTAGAAAATTACGTCGCGAGCGTGAGCGGTTTTCTGACTGAGGAGGTCCAGTACGATCCATGCTTTGTACTCGTGACTGATGCCGAGGTGAATTCCCCAGCGCGCGCGACTGGCGAATTTGCCGATGGTTGATGTTGGCGGGCGGTACTGCACCATGCACCCCCACACGCGGAGCATGGAGGTATCCCCCTTGGTCCCGGTCCATTTGACGTGCGGGGAGAGATTCCCGCTGATCGTGGTAGTTGAAAGCAGGTTGTGCACCCGCACGGCGTGGTGCATCGCGTAGGTCCAGTAGATCGGCGGCAGCTTCGACTGCTTCATTAGCGCCCGCACCTTCGTCATCAGTGTGCGATTCGTTCGCTCCGCTACGCCTTGCTGCTGATGTGCGTAGGGGAGAGAGATGTGATGTTCGATCCCCTTTTGCGCCAGGTAAGTTTGCATCTGGTTGCTTCTGAACTCTGCTGCGCCGTCAGATTGCCAGATCTTTAGCTTCTTTCCAGATTGCCGCTCCGCATGCGCTAGCCAGAGCCGAAACACCTCGTAGGCTCTGTCGCGCGTCTCCACGTTCACGACCCACACGTAGCGTGTTCCAGCGTCAATGAAGGTGAGAGTGTATAGCTCGTCCTCGACTCCGCAATGCCCTACGTTCAGGAAATCGCTGTACACCTTGTGCAGTTTGGGGTAGCGGTTCGTCCCAGGTTCGAGCAGCGGGAACGGTTGGTGGCTCAGCGCAGCTTCGGGGCAGACTGTGCAATTGCGCGGATGCGTTGCGTCTCTCACTTCGGAGCCATCGGGGCGCAGGAGTGCGCCAGGAGCGAAGACGCCTGCGTCGATACAATTTTTCAGCGTTGCGCGAGAAGGGTGTCCGAGGCGCTGGTGCCAGAGTGCATCGTCAGCGCGAAAGCCGGAGGTGCGCATGTAGCGCGCGCGGGCTTCCTCCGGGTCTTCATCAGGTACGGTAGCAGGTTCTGCTACTGCTTCTTCTTCTTCTGCCGCGGTGGTCAGCATCAGCGCCAGGAACTCTCTGTCGCGAATCTCAGAGAGTGGGATGTTGGTCCCAGGGATGGTTCCAGGGACGAAGGTTGGTTCGCGTGGTTCGGGGGCCGGTCCGTAAGCAGTGCGACGCGGGGTTGACGGCTCGTTGCCCCAGGCGATGGTGTCCCATGGATCGCGGCGCGGTGGGTTATCAGGAGGAGGTAACGCGAGTGGGACATGGCGTGGGGGACGACCGAGGGGAACAACTGCAGACTCTCCAGCTTCTTCTTCTCCCCCCCTTTGGTCTACGCGGGGAGTCCCCCAGCCTCTAGGAGGGGTGCCCCGGCTACTCGTGTCAGCGCCAGATGCGGCGCCCCATTCGCCAGTTGCGGTTGCCCAGTCGCCGGCCTCAGTCGTTCCCCAACCGCCGACGTTTTCCCACCCCCCTTCATTGGTGGCGCTTTCTTCAGCTTCGGCGCCCCATGCGGCGCAGGTGAACGTTCCGCGTGCCTCGGCGAGGCTCTGTTGGCGAAGCTCCTCGGCTTCGCGGCGCGCCAGTTCTTCCTCCTGTTCCACGGTAAGTGTTGCCGTGGGTTCGCGCTAATGTGGGTAAATCTGCAGGAAATTCTCGCGGTGTAGGGGCGTGGGATGCCATGCGCATCGAAGGTACCGACACCAGTTCCACGAAGCATCCCTCGAAGATGTTGAGAAGGGGGACCTGTGAGGGGGTGCTCAGGCGTGCCGAACACGCCATGCGTGGTGACTTCGAGTTCGAGTTGCGACATCCCTTCCTCGGGGGGCGCGTTGCGCTCTGCTTCCGCGATGGCGGCGAGTCCGCGGCCTGCAATCGCGCTCGTCGAGGTCGTCGGCGTGTGACAATCCCTGCAGATGCCATCTGGATCGGGGTTGTGAAGTTCCGTTTCGCGTGGGTGGGGATGATGCGGCACCCACGGCCTGCCGTCAGGGTGCTTCCAGTCCCTGCGGTGGATGTGTTCGAATCGCAGTGGCACGAGGTCAATCAGCTCGTGCGAGTCGCCGCTGCAGTCGGGAATATCGAAATCCAGGATGTACACTCCATTTTCGGAGTGTGCTCGTCCGATCTGCCTGCGGGTAAAGGTGCGCGACTCGTAGTGCAGCA